CCGGGCCGGCGCACAGCCGTTGCCCCATCACCATGGTGCCTCGCCTTCCCTCCTCCGGCCGATGATCTGCCACCCCGGCAGAAGCCGCTACTGCTGCCGGGAAGCCGGGTTGAGTGGTGGCATGTGCCTGGCTCGGTCGCCGTTTGCTGCAGTGAGGTGGCGGCGAGATGCGGTCCCAGCCGAGCAGCCGGCTGCCCCCGGCAGAGGAGCGATGCCTCCTTCCACTCCCAGCGGTAATTTGGGGCGGGTTCCCCTGCCGCTCCCAGGAAACAGCGGGCCGGCAAGGGCAGGCAGCGCCAGTGACGTTGCCGGCATCAGCGTGGTGAGATGGCCCAGCAGCTCATCTGGTAGGGCGATAGCGGTGCCTCCGGGCGGCTGCACTGGGACCCAGGCTGGGGGCATGGCAGGGGGGTGTGAGCTCGCGTGTCCTTCCCCCGGCAGGATCATGCGCCCGGATGATGCCAACGTTGCGGGGAACGTCCACGGGGGAACCATCCTGAAGATGATCGAGGAGGCTGGAGCCATCATCAGCACCCGCCACTGCAACTCCCAGGCCGGGGTGAGTAGGCGCCGGAGTGCCCGCCAGGCTCCGGCTTGGCGACTCTCCAACCCCCCCGCCGCCCCTCACGGATCTGCTGGGAGCAGGGGGTCCCCCAGGACCGCTGGGCATCCCTGGGGGCCTCCCCACACATCCCCCTGCACCGGAAGCGCTTGCTCCTGCATGCAAACCACTGGTGGCTCTGGCTGCTGCCGGAGCATGGCCCTGGTAGCTGGAAGCATCCTGCTGAAATTGTGTTTTACGAGCAGAAACATTATTACGCTGCTGTCAATGTTTTAACTCCCGCAAAGGGCAAGTCAGAGGCGGCCCCGGTGTCAGTTATGGGTGGGGAAGGAAGCACAGCTGCCGGCTGATAATGCGGAGGTTGGAGTGCTGGAGCCACGTGCAGCATGGGCCGGCCCCGGGGAGCTGCCGGCTGTGGTCCTGCACGGCGTGGCTGCGGTCACCACCCTCGCTGTCTCGCCGTCCCCAGGAGCCCTGTGTGGCTGCGCTGGCGCGGGTGGAGCGGACGGACTTCCTCTCCCCGGTGTGCATTGGCGAGGTGGCCAACGTCAGTGCCGAGATCACCTACACCTCCCGGCACACCGTGGAGGTCCAGGTCAACGTCATGTCTGAAAACATTTTAACAGGTGGGTGGCTTCCGGCAGCCCTGTCCCAAAACTCCAAGAATAACCCTGATAAGGCGAGAGCTCGTGGCGTTGACCCCCATCCTCTGCCCACTGTTGCCAGCAGCATCGGGCAGAGGGGAGATCTTGCCTTTTTATTGAGAGTGGCGGGAAGGAAGCACAGCTGCCGGCTGATAATGCGGAGGTTGGAGTGCTGGAGCCACGTGCAGCATGGGCCGGCCCCGGGGAGCTGCCGGCTGTGGTCCTGCACGGCGTGGCTGCGGTCACCACCCTCGCTGTCTCGCCGTCCCCAGGAGCCCTGTGTGGCTGCGCTGGCGCGGGTGGAGCGGACGGACTTCCTCTCCCCGGTGTGCATTGGCGAGGTGGCCAACGTCAGTGCCGAGATCACCTACACCTCCCGGCACTCCGTGGAGGTCCAGGTCAACGTCATGTCTGAAAACATTTTAACAGGTGGGTGGCTTCCGGCAGCCCTGTCCCAAAACTCCAGGAATAACCCTGATAAGGCGAGAGCTCGTGGCGTTGACCCCATCCTCTGCCCACTGTTGCCAGCAGCATCGGGCAGAGGGGAGATCTTGCCTTTTTATTGAGAGTGCTGGGAGCAGCAGGGAGGGTCGGCGCTGGGAAGGGAAGCCAAGCAGGCTCCCTGGGGATTACGGCTCCATTGCTCATTTTTAGCGAAGAACGGAAACATCCGCCATTAGCTCCTCCTGCCTAATTTGCTGCCCGTGGCTGCCTTTGGCCTGAAAAAGGCCCTTTTCCTGCTGTTGCTGTGGCAACTGGCTCCGCTTGCCGGGACGCCTTCCCAAAAGCGCATTGTCACATCCGCTCCGAGCCAAAGCCCGGCAGGAGCCAGCAGGGCAGGGGGCTGCCTGGTGCCGGCAGCATTGCCAGCGTGCAGCCAACCCCGGACTGCAGCACCGCCGGTGGCAAACGCGCCTTGGTTGGCATTGGTGCGGTCACCCTCTGCCCCCCTCTTCTCCAGGGGCGAAGAAGGTGACGAACAAGGCGACGCTGTGGTATGTGCCGCTGTCCCTGAAGAATGTGAACAAGGTCCTTGAGGTTCCTCCCATCCAGGTAGGATGGCTTGCTTTGCTCCCTGAAAACCGGAGCTCGCCCTCTCTGGGGGAACGGTGCTAACCTGGCCCTGTCAGCATCCCCGGCTGCGCCGGTGCCTTTGCCGACCCTGTTCTTACCAGCCTTTCCTTCCAGTACACAAGAAAGGAGCAGGAGGATGAGGGGAAGAAGCGTTACGAGGAGCAAAAGCTGGATCGGCTGGAAACTAAGCAGAGAAACGGCGACTTGATCTTCCCTGTCATCAACCCAGGTAACGTGGGCAGTGCGTGACCTGCGGAAACGTCCCAGCAGCGCTGGGAGGCCGAACTGGTCCCCGAGGCAACTCCAGCCGTCCCCGGGCACCTGTGGCTGTGAGCGCGCACTCTGAAACACTGCATTGGGGATGGGGATGGGATTTTGGAGCCACAGTGCGTGAGTGGAGGGGGAGTCGGGTGGGTACCTGTGATCCCCTGCTGGGGCTGGTGGGTGGGATGCCCTCTTCCGAAACACGGTTCCTGCCACCACTCCTTGCATCCCTTGTGCATTCCTGAGCAGTGGGAGCTAGTTTTGCTCAGCACAGGGTAAACGCAAATGTTGGGCGAGGGTTTTGCACACTCTGCAGCTGCAGCCCCTCTCTGGAAGTCAGTTTTTCGGAAGAAGTTTATCGGCCACTGTTTGAAGGGGAGGATGAGCTACGGGGAGGAGCTGGGGTCATGCTCTCCCTGGGGGATTGCTGGGGATCTCTTTCCTACCGAAAGTGTTGCCCCGGCTTCTGGAAACACGGTGGCGGTGCTGATGGCGAGCCAAAGGCGCGAGTGGCTGGTGGCCTCCAGGACTAGCCGTGGTCCTCGGGTAGAGGCAGAGAGGTGGCGCGCGGGAATCATCGGGGGGTGTTGTGGGATGAAAGTTGCTCAAATGCTTTTTTCCCCTCTGTTCTCCCTGCTCACAGATAGACAGACGAAAGGTAAGGCTCCGCGGGTGCTGCTGCGCGGGTATCCTCCCTGAGGAGGTGATGCCTGGTTTTTCCTGTGCTAAGCACCTTTAGCATCTCTCATTAGATGGAAAACTAAAACGCTCCCTGAGAGCGGTTTTCCTCTGCTGGCAGTTGGAAGGTGCGATTTCTGTCACCTGGATTTAGTGGCAAGTCAGATGTCACCAGCATGTGCCATGGCTGGGGGACGTGGGGGCAGAGGTCTTCACGCCGGGGGGAAGCGTGGTCCTTTGGAGACACCGCTAAGCGGCAGGTTCGGGGAGATTCGGCTGTGGCTGGTGACCTGAGGAGGGAAAGTGTACAGCCATGTGTCCATCCAGTTCACTCCCATTTGCTTTCGGGCTCTTTGAAAGCTTTAAAAGAAGAAATGAGCTGAGCTGGAATAAAATTGATGAGTGGGCATTAGAGGGAGGTGGCAGCCCGTCAGGTGGTGAATGGCCTCTGCTCTCAGGACTTCTCGGGCCAATCTAAACACTGGCTTGAACATACTTCAGCTTTGCACACGCCAGCCCCACATTTTCTTCCTTCACATGGCTTAAGACAGGGGCGTACGGCGGTGTACGGGTGCTGGCCGAGCAGCTCTGATCTCCGCTTTGCTCTCCTTCTCTAACCAGAGCCGCACACCGTTGGCTACAGCCAGTCCAGCCTGATCCACCTGGTGGGACCGTCAGACTGCACGCTGCTGGGCTTCGTGCACGGAGGTGAGTGAGTGCTGCCCTGTTCAACAGCTGGGTTGTTTTTTCCCCGGAGCAGAAGCACTGTTTGAGAGCAACTCGTGCATCTCGGTGTTTTCGGGAGGTGGGCTCTGCCTCTGAAGGCACACAGGCCCATTTCCACAGTCTGTAAGGTTCAGTGTTGCTTCAGCTGAGACAAAAGCTTCGTCTTTTTCTATGCTTAAAAAAGGCTCCGAAAACTGACATACTCAAACTGTAAATCCTACAATTTTGTCATTGTCTCTTAAATTGCAAATCTCAGATTATAAACACCCAGCGTACAATGACTGCAATTTGCTGGAGCAATTTCGTCTTGGCTGGCAGTGCCCATCGCCTGCCGGTCGGGCAGGGCAGGGCGGACGCGTGCAGCGTGAGCCCGGGGAGATGCGCGTTTGCCAAGGGCTGGGATGCCGCTGGATGCCACTCCTCATCTAATTGCGTCCTTAAAGAAAAAACAAAACAATGTGGCTCAGAGCTCTTTCCAAGCAGGAGGTTTGGGGGACTGATGTTGCCTTGCAAGGCTGAGGTTTGCTCAGAGAAATTCGGGAGAGCCAGAGCTTAAGCCCAGGTCTGCGAGGATGTCACCCTGATGGTACTCTTGACAGCAGGCTTTATGCTGGTACTGGGGGTTTCCTGCAGCTGGCATTCAGTCTCTGGTCTGACTCCTCAGCGTAGCTTTGGTCGTGCAAAGGCCTTACTGACCTACCCGTGGTTTTTCCCAAATCCCACCGGCTTCCCTGAGACAGGACCCTCTACCTCTGCCCCCCAGGTGTCACCATGAAGCTCATGGATGAGGTTGCCGGGATTGTGGCCGCCCGCCACTGGAAGACAAAAATATTCACCGA